ACCATTTCTCATTATTACAAGTTGCGGCATTCTGCGCTCGTAACAATAATGTCTGTGGATGGCTCGAGAATATTATGTGCAAAGTGTTTGAGAGTCACGTGGTTCATGTAACATTTTTTTTTTCTAAAAAAAAAATCAAAAACATGGATTTCGCGTATTGGGATGATAGTGACAGTGACAGTGAAGATGAGATAACATATTTAAACGATAAATATAAACAATCAAGCAAAACGTGTATTACGTGTTACGTAAAATCTACAGAAAAAAAACAATGATGATCGAATATCACCAGTGCAGATCCTTCGCGATCGAGAGATGCACGGTGAGCGCATTGTGAAAAATGTATTCTTTGATTATTGGCCCATTTATTATTGGTCCTTGCGCGTTCGACGAAATGTGTATACGCGGTTACGAGACAAATACAAGGACGATAACTATGAAAAGAGAATGTCACACATCGGTGCAACATACTACCAACGACGACAATAAGAACTATGATTGGGTGGAGAAAATCTTAAAGAAACTCGACAGTTGCAATTACAGATGCATTAGGATTATCGGAGACAGTAAGAAGAGTGCCGAAGTAGTGTTGACAGATAATATATCTGTGCCTTTCAGTTATGGAAGTGATTCTGCCATTAAAGAACTATCTTTTCAGTGTGATAAATATCATGGTGAAGTGTGCCGTGAGAGTGGCTTAATCTACATGTACAATCAGAAGGTGATGGACCTGTATGGCATTGTAGATATAGAGCGACATTGCAGCGCCTGTGAACAAAGAACATGCAAGTGCTCCGAGTAACATTTTTCTAAAAAAAAGTGTGAAAAATGGAAAACCACAAGCGAATGGAATGCAAACTATTGGAGCAGTGCAACCGCGTCGTCGCTACCTTGGTGGAGTGTTTCATGTGGATGCGACGAGTGCATCGAGCAGCTTGAAAAATCTCTGTCGCGCCAAGCTTCCATTGGGCTCGCCGTTGGGCACAGACAATCTATGGTGGCGAGAATCACGCGACTCGCAGAGACTCAATTAGAGTGACGGACTGACGGCTCGTGCACGTGGGTGGCTGATCGCGCAGACGCGAACGATAGAGCTCTCGTTTGGCGCGAGATCGACGCCGCGTTCGAGAATCGTATTCTGACTCGTGTGGTGATAAACTCTGAACACATAAAGCCGCGACCGCGACAGTTTTTGGAATATACCAGCAGTGTAGTGCTCGAGCGCGTGTACGAGGCGCTGTAGAGAGACACGGTAGTGTAAAAGTGACACCGCGTTCAACGGAGAGTTTGTAGCGGGTGATAAACGCGCCAATAAAAGTATCACCACTCGAAACTTTGAACTCTATCGATGCACAGATTTACGTTAGTGGTACGGGCGGCATTTTAGCGTCGCTTGAAGAGTTCCAGGAGCGTGACAGCGAGTGGACGTTCTTGCGAATCCTCAATTTAACGTACGGTGAACGTGAACAAACTGAATCCCATGCGCGAAAAAGGCTGCATCGAAGTGCTGCGGGAAATTATGCTGAAGAAAGCGGTAATCAATGTGCGTTCGAAGGACAATGCATGCTTCGCGTAATCTGTGGTCACCGCTTTGCATCCTGCGGAAAGAAATGTGAATCGGACATTGTCGTATTCAAATTACACGAAAGTGGTGAATCTTAAAGATATTGTGTTTTCGATGACGTTCAAAGACATTAAAAAATTCGAACGATATGTCGATCAATGTCTATGATATTGAGAATAAAGGAATCCTTCCCTTTCGGTTCACCGAGAAGAAGGAGAAGCATGTAATAAACATGCTGTACCTGCAAGATCCACGCGACGACAGCCTCGGCCACTTTGCGCTCATCAAAAATCTATCCCACTTCGTGAGATTTACCAAAATAAAGAATAAGAAAAGTATTTCTGTAATCGGTAAGTATACATAATAAGAAAAAAAATCCGATGAAATATTTTTTAAAATATAGTGAAAAAATATAATTTTTACTAATAATAATTTTATGCTTTTTTCAGATGTCACTTTGGATTTATCACGCAGTTAGAGATCCACAGCGAGGATTGCAGTAAGATGAACGACTGCGCCATTCGACTACCGAGCGAGAACAAGTGGCTCGAGTTTGGCAACCACTGCCAGGAAGGAGCGTGTTCCATTTGTAGTGTACGCAGGAGTGAATGCTGTGGAAGACGGAGGACGCATCGTCGTCGTAGTCGTCGTTGTCGTACGCGTATTAATACTACGATATTCAGTATAGGATATTACGTGCAATGTTCGTACGACGACGCATCATTGTCGTATCAATGTCGGCGCTATAAAGACTGCGTCGCGTGGTTCGCGCGCCAATTCGCAGACTTGGTGTATCGCGTGTAAAACATGGTATCCGCTAACGTACCCATGGAAACATTGTTCAGACAACAATGGGATGCGTATCACAGCGCGACGCGTTGTCACATCTATGAAAAACTGCTCGCGCCAAACGACTAGCGGGTACGCGATCATTTTGTTATCTCGTCGAACGATACCGTGGTTCGTCCATATAATAGCGCATTCGAACTGTAATTTAAAAATTATAAATTCAATTCAATACTATAATTAATAATCACCTTGACTAACTTTCACTAAACTTAAAATAAATCTTTAATATGTATCTGTTTATATTTGTATATTTCATATATATATATTTTTATTTTTTCGTATAATTATTACATATCGTTTATTTATATAAGTATATTTATTTCAACGAATGCATGTTAATTCAAATATAAAGAACAAACCTAAAGATATACTTTAGAGACGTGTTTGATGCTCGAATTTGGTGTCGTCGAAGGTAAACATGAAAATAGTGAGCCAGGATTTGATTGTAAGTACTTTTGTAGAAATATAATTTTTTTCTATTGTAAAAAGATATATATATATATATGTATTTTTCTTGAAAAAAATATTATTCTATAATAATTATCATAACATTTCTATCATTAAAACTACCTCGTACCATATTTCTCCGTCATCATAATCTAAGTGATAACATAATTTAATAGCTCGTAAAGTAATGCTATTTGGTATTACTTAATTAATTATTGTGATGAGATAATTTTAAATATAATGACTTGTTTTGAAAAGCAGCATACTTTACAATTTCTGATCACAAAAACCAAATAATTTCTACGCCTATTTCTTAATCCACTTCTGCTATTACCCATTGTAGAATGGGCTTTAATTTCTTTGAAAAATTTTCTAGAAATTTTCAATCCACTATTTGACTATTACTAAAAGTTCGGAATCAGACTACATATTGAAGATTGAAGTTGAACATTAAAAGTTTGAAACTATAAGAAATTAACCAATCGTGGTCGATTTTTTCCAATTGTGATTGGCCAATTTCTTACGGCACGACATATGACAATGGCTTCCGACTTTGTAGGACGGGCTTGATGTGAATCCTACGTAAGCATCAACAGATTGTCCGTTTTTGTCTATCTAAAGCCTGATCTATAATTGCGTAAACATAGCTGTAAGCAAAGACATAGAGAATAGACTGCGCGATCCCGTATCAGTAGTATCAAAATGTGTCGATGAAAATGAGAGAGAGGGTCCGTGGAAGACGGCCATCTCTATCTTTTTCCATTCGATGGTATAATGGAAGAGAGAATGAGAGGGAGATGGCCGTCTTCCACGGTCCCTCTCTCTCATCTCTATCGATCATTTTGACACACGGATCGCGCAGTCCATTCTCTTATGTCTTTGGCTGTAAGTGATTGTAGTTGTAACGCCTATTCTACAATGACCGTAAGCACAAAAATTGTAAAATCGTAATCAATTATGGGCCTTCTACAATAAGCCGTAAGTCACAAATCATAAGTCATAAGCTAGAAATGGTTCAATCACAGTCGTCAATTTTTAGTTTCTTACTTCCGATTTATGACTTATGGCTTATTGTAGAAGGCCCATTATTCTCCTCATATTCGATTACGATTGGTCAATTTTTACTTCTTACATTGTAGTATAGGTCAGTATAGGTTTAAGAATCCTCCAATTACAATTGGATATTCTCCTCGTATTCAACTGTAATTAGTCAATTTTTACAACTACGTTTACGCAATTGTATATATTCCTCTTATTATATTGTTTGGAGGCGGGTGCCATTAATTAAAGAAGAAGCAATTGTATATAGGGCTTATGGACCGAAATCGTGGATCAGAGGGAAGAGTGGACTAGAACAAAAAATTCATGGATATTATCAACGGAATCGTGCACATTGTTCCACGTTTTGTGGTCATAGAGGCGCTTCAAAATAAGGTAAGTTAAATCCCGGGTAAAGCCGCTCTCAGCACCGGATATAGAAGCGTTAAGCGAGGAGCACAGACTTTTGCATAACGCATAAAGCATGTGCATAAGGAATTTCATTGGTCCATTTTCTTATGCATGAGTCAATGGACCAATCAAATTCTTTATGTATATGGTTTATGCGTTATGCAAAAGTCTGTGCTCCCCGCTTTACAATTGGCCAATCGCGTTCGAGTCTGCGCGACGCTCAACATGATCGCGTTCTTGATGTTTTTGTTATGAAAACGATCAGCTGTGATAGTCTTGAAGATTTTCATCGTACCGGCTACTCGTTCGCGGCGAGACAAATTTCGGCTCGGTCAAAACGGTAGTCAGACTGTAAGATTCCTCTTCCTACGCGAATGACGAACGTCAAAGCATCGAACGAGCCGATGATCCGCGTCTCGTCCGCGTCGCGCGCGACAGTGATCTGCCAATGTGACTGTGCATCGATTTGAGGGAGGTTTGTTATCATTGCGGTAGGTTTTGATTGGGCCTTATCGTGAAATCACGCTGCTCGTGCCCGTTGAATTTATAGGGCGTTGAGAAACGACGCGGTCGGCAGCCTCCGACGGCACCGATTCCCCCTCACGCTGTCCCATCGTGGGAAAAGTAACGTTGACGTTGACACACAGATGATAACCGAATATACTCTTGTATTGCATCAAATTCTGCGAAAATGGCCTCCTCGGAGATTGACGATTTCCTGGCGGGGCCACTGGTCACCTGGGTGAGTCTTTTTAATTCGGGAAAATTCGGATGTTTCTTTACACCTATTCTCTTCTTCAAGAAGCTGAGCTTCTTGCACAGTGTATCTTTTCTCTTTCTTTTTCTTTTTAAAGAAAAGGAGGAAAGATGAACTGTAAAAAATTTCATTTAAAAGGAATAGATTTGTTGTTGATGTGTGAGAAAGTACGATAGAATTGATGTTATTCTATTATGAACTGTAGTCGCTTTCCATTTTCATACAAGTAATGTTCAATCTAAAGTTATTTTACTTTATACTCTTAGATAATGCTGTCACTATTTGCTTACTTTGATGACAAAGTTATCTCATAACAACACAAGTTTGTAACCTCTCTTTTAAAATGAGTTAACAAGAAATATGTATTTTATTTTTATATCAGAATTCTCTTTCTTACTTTTATAAATATCAAACATGTACTATCTCATTTTGAGTTCTACAAGTCTTTAATTAATGGCTCTCACCTCCAAGAGTAATAGGAGGTCGATACAGCAAGAGTTCTACTATAGAAAACAGACCTAAGATTCAATAAAGTACATAATCTTAAGCTTGTATAAATTATTATTAAAAACTCAGTTGAATTTTACTTGCTAGAATGAAGAGGAATATGCATTCCTCTGAGTCATGATGTCGCAAATAAGGATTATTTGAAGTTTTTTTTTAGTATAAATGGAAAGCAACTTATATTAAATGATCTTTTTGTGTTGCTTTAGTTTGCTAGCTGTTTGGAAGACCCCAATGTATTAGCAAATTATGAAGACTTAGTGGACGGTGTCTTATTGCACAGTGTCTTCCTACAGATGTGAGTCTTTTAATATGTAATAAGATATTGGATGCTCTTTCCATTTGATGACATAAGTGTCATTCTATCTTTCTTACTGAATGTGAAGAAAGATAAAATGATATTTGTATCATTAAATGGAAAATATCCATTGAGTTTATATCAATTCAATTGTCATAGAATATTATTAAAATATTCTAATTTGATTTTTACTTGCAGCAATCCAGAGCCATTGCACGATGAAGTAGTGCCGTCCAATAATAATCCTATTATCCGTATAAAAAATTTAAAGACTGTAATACAAAACATGAAGCAGTTTTATGAGGAAGAATTGGATCATGTGATTTTAAAATTACCCGATGTTGCAAATTTGGGAAAGGAGCCAGAGTTATACATAGCAGATATGAAGTTATTGCTATTATTACTTCTTGGATGTGCTGTTCAATGTCCAAATAAGGAAAAGTTTATTACTAAGATAAAAACTTTACATGTTGACATACAGCTTGCGATAGTAGAGTGCATTAAACAGGTATTGTGTGTATCCATACTTTAAAGTATATATATAGTTACTAATAAAGATATATATGAACTAAATTAATATAATCGAAAAGATAATAAAAAATTTATATAATGATGTACAAATCTTGATCTATTCAGGTTACAGATCACCAAGACATAGTTATTACGCAGGATGCTATGGAAAATGCAAATATGGGTTGTCTATTTGTTCAAATAAAAAAATGGATTCAAGAATTGGATTTGTATCGGGAGGTATATACTATATTCTTATTTGTACATTAAAAATCTATAGTTTTTAAATATTATGATTACGTGATACAACATTTTGCAAAAAGCAGAAATGGAGGGACACAGTGTTAGACGATAGCGTTGAACGAAATGATTCATCTATTAGTGCAGAATCTGAAGACATAAGTAAGACGCAACAATCCCATCCTGTCACTAAAATGGAAAGAGAGGATAATCATCATTATGCAGTTGAATTGGCTGATTGGAAATCTAAAGTTCGAAAACAGCGGCAAGAATTGTGCGTTTTATTTCGTTAAATTTTTATAAATACCAAATTAATAGAAAATACGTAAATAATTTTTATTAGTTATATTTATTTTATGAAAAATTATATTTGTACATTATAGAATTTACATGATACTGTATTTATGTTACCACTATCTATTAATAAGCTATTTTATTATCATTGTTATTTAACCTTCCGTTGGGGGATCTGAGTGATACACGGCATATGTTTTGTTTACGCATGTCCGCGTATCGGATCACAGCTACTTCATTTTCACAATAACTCCCTCTTTTTTTAGTCCTTTAGCATGGTAACGTTTAGTTGTCCACAAGTGTTTTCAGTGTGAAGAATAAAATTTACTTATATATTTAATATTTTGATATAATTATAGTATAGTTATATAATTATAGTATAGTTTTAACAAAATAGTTAATGCGATCCATTTGGTACACCGCGCCCGACGGAAGGTTAATTTTTTGATTTATTTTTTAATTTTAAAAATAATGTATGATTGCAAATAATTATTACAAAAAAACTATTCCAATAATATTTAATGTAATTTGATATTTAGTAACTATATAATCATACTCAATAACTTTTACAGAGAAGAAAAAACAGAAGCTCTTCTCGAATGTAAGGAAGAATTAGAGCATAATAAAACATTACTTGTAAAACTAAGGCAAGAGGTAATATATATTAAGTATATGTATGTTTATACTGACTATATAACATTTATAATTTTAGAATCAAGAATTAATGCACGAAGCTCGTACCGCTAAATCATACAGAGATGAGTTGGATGCTGTAATTGAAAGAGCAGATAGAGCAGACCGTTTAGAAATAGAAGTGACACGATATAGAGAAAAACTTACGGACATTGAATTTTACAAAACTCGGATAGAAGAATTACGTGAAGATAATAGGTAATATATTTTTAATATCATGCAATCTATATAATATTGTACTTTAACAATATGAATAAAGTAATTGTTATACATTTGATGATGTTGTATATTTAAGAGTTTTAATGGAGACTAGAGAAATGCTTGAAGAACAATTAAGTTCGTCAAGAAACAGAGCAGATAAAGTATTGGAGCTTGAATCAGAAATTATTAAGTTTAAGCAATTACTTAACGATATGGCATTGGTAAGAACTCCAAGAACTTTATAATATGAATAGACAACGTTCGCGATAAGATATAACAACAAATTGAAAATCATTTATAGGAACGTGCTGCTGACAAAGAAAAATATCAAGAACTTGTTGAGGAAAATACGCAACTGCATCAATTAACAAAAGCTGCTGCTAATGAGGCTGCATTAGCTGGATCCAGTGACTCTGAAGAACCAGGTAAATTTGCGTTTAAAAAAAATTTACCATTAACAAAATTATTATTTTCAAATGAGGATGACAACATTTAATTAATGTCTTTAGTGCACAATGATAATAGACTGTCCGAACAATTAACGAGCAATGCTCAGGCACGAGCATTAAAATTGGAACTGGAAAATCGCCGTTTAAATACTTTAATTGATTCATTGAAAGAAAGTTCATTCCACGAAAATTCCTCTCGCGTTTTGGAATTAGAAAAGGAGAAAAAGAAGCTTTCGTTGAAAATTGAATCACTGAACGATAATAAAGAAAGACTCACACAACAAAACACTGATTTAGAATTAGTCTGCAAGCAAGCATTGGAAGAAAATAAGAAACTTCAGAACACTCTTAAAAATCAACGAACTTCTTTCGAGAAGCAACAACAAGAAGTCCAAGTACGTTGGATCAAATTATACTTTTCTAAATATTTCGTTTTAAGATTGATAGATTCATCTTATTGTATCTTCTTTTTACCATATTTAGACCCACCACGTGAAAATGTTGGAATTGGAAAAAAATTATGATACCGCAGTGAAAGAGAAACAACGTGTTCAGCTATTATTGGAAAGCGTGCAACGACGCGCTGATGATTTAGAACGCACTCTGGAAACGACAAATCAAAAAGTTGAAGAATTAAAGCTTATTGAAAATAATATTAACGATATTAATTCCAAGTGCCTTGATCTTGAAACAAGACTAATAACGACAGAGAAAGAGAAGGATGTTGCACAACGAGATATTTATAAATACAGAGAAACAATTGAGGTAAACATTAATTGCTAAATAATGAATATTGTAATAAAGATGTAAACAATTTTGCAAAATATTTTAGGAAAAAGATGTAGCTTTAGATAAAGCAACAAATACAATTGAAGTTTTGGAGAGGAAAGTAGGACAACTTGAACAGGAATTGCAGGAATGTGTTACGCAAATATCAAGGTGTGTTTGAAAAAATATTGTTTTTTTTTTTAAATAAAAAATATTGAATGTTATAAAGCTATCTTTGTTTTAGATTGCAAGAAATTGAACGATCTAGTAAAGAGCTCGATTCACGAGCTGCTATTGATAGAGAAACTTTAGAGATACTTCAATCTAATCTCGTCGCAGAAAAGCTGAGCAATCAACAATTGTACACGGTTTTGGAAAAACTCGGTCTCAGCGATAATATATTGCTGTCCCAACCTCTGGAGACTATATTGGAAAGGTGAATAAAGTAAAATGTATTCGGAAAGAGATTTACCCTTTTGGCTAGTTTATAATTATGTATATTCTCTGCTCTAATACTTCATCACATCTCCGCAATCTCTTACACCTAAATTCAGAATTTCTCGCTGACTTCCTACCTGCGACCCGTTACAATAACCTGCTCTCTACTCCAGCTCACAGATTTGTTAAATTTAGAACCTCCTTTTCTTTCACTGCACCCAAATACTACAATTCTTTACGTTCTGATACAAGATCCTCCATTTCCCTTTCTTGCTTTCGTTCTTCCGCTTCCCAATTCATTATGTCTCATTTTAATTAATATAGCTGAGCAACTATCATATTCATTGTTACGAGTCGTTCAAATATTTACTCACAGTAATGAAACTGTCATTCTATTATCACTGTAATATATGTTTCTAATATTACGCTCACTGTAACGAAATTTTTTATTATCACCGGCCACGTACCAGCTGCATAATTTCGCCTTTTGCTTGCATTCGCCATTTATCTTAACTCTTTGTATTACCCATTTTATCTAACCACATGCAATGCAATAAAATTATTATTATTATAAATTTATTTGTTGTAGAATTGCTCAAATACCAGAAGTGATAAATCATATTAAAAAATCTTTTGTATCAGAAAGTAATGAGGAAACAACGTCTGAATCCACAACTTGTATCGATAAAGAAAGCGATGTTAATAAGACCTTAGAAACTGTGATAGAACCTTTAAAGGTATTTACATTTGAAACCTCACAATGTCTGTATTTTATATTTTATTCCAATTTTAGAGAGAACTGGAACATTTACAAATAAAGGCAGCTATGTCTGAAACAGCAATGGAGAATTTATTATCTGAGAATGCGAAACTTCAGGTTCACATAACGACGTTACAATCGCAAAGCAATTCGTTAACTGCACAGCATACCGCATTGCAGTTGGCCAATTCACAACTTCTTGCAGAGAAAGAAGAGGTATTTGTATTTTATTTCTATTATTTAATTTTTAATAATTTTATATAACAACTTTATGTATACTCTTAACCATCATATATGTATCTAGCTATTGAAAGAACGTAGTACACAACAGAACGTATATTCCGCACTACTTCATGATCAGAACACCTTACAATCCTTGCATGAACAACTTAATAACGAGTATGAAAATTTACGTCGCGAACGAGATGCTCTTAAATCGAATTTAAGAGACGTGAAGAATGAAAACAGAACATTGCGCGAGACTTGTGAGAGATTAGAGACGAAAAGTGAAACACTACAATCTGAACGGGAAGCCTTGATTAACAACACGAAAAGTTTAAATAATTTACGTGGAGAACATTCTAAATTAAAGGTATCTATAAAAAAATAACTAAAACATCTGATTATACAATACATAAATTTCGTTTTATCGGTTAAAATATGGTTTTTGATAATTATATGTATAAATATTTTAGGATGACTTCAGAAACTTATACACTGCGAGTGAAAGGTTGAAAGCAGAGTATAGAAATTTGCAAGATGATTATAGAAAGAATAAACTCGAGATGAACCGCCTGAGTTTAAAACAGACTGAAATGCAGGGTGAACTTAGCGTCAAAGACGAACAGTGCTCAGATCTGAAATTAGAAGTCAATAGCCTTCATGAACGATGTGATGTATGAATATAAAATTTTGTAACTGTTACAATTGTAATACAGTTCTTGATTATGAAAAATATTAGAATGCATGTTTCTTCTTTTCTTTTTAAAGAGACTATTAGAGATGAACTCTGGATTGGATAATGACAGACGTTCCTTAATGGAGCACATAAGCTTATTATTTACACAATACCACGAACTTTTAACACATTCGCTTCAAGATAAGGAACATTATCATATGGAAGAAAAACTGTTCGCGTTAGTATAACAACTTATCTTTTTAGAACATCATGCTTCTTTAATGCATCAATTTTTTTATCGCATTAATTATGTCAATAATTGTTATTTATCAACAACTCATTAAAGTATGCATGTGTATAACAGGGATAAAGTTAATCACTTGTACAGACAAAAAGAAAAATTGGAAGACAAAATTATGGAGCACTACAGAAAATTGAACAGCTGCACTACCAAGAAGTATGTTTAGCAGGAAGTTATAATTTTATAATCTATATGTATAAATTTTATATAAGATACGTCTTGCTCTTATCATAACTTGCACATGTATTTTAATACAGAAAGGGTTTTGGAGCCAGTTTAGTTCGCAGAGTTAGAAAAGCCGGATCGGAACTTCTCAATAAGGTGAATAATTAATTAGACATTGCAATAATAAAAAATACTACACTTTTTGCATTGCAACATTTTTATACTTTTTTTTTTTTTACCAAATTTCTTTGTTTAAGATACCCTGTATAGCTTCATAATTATTTCTAAATGATCTAATGAGAATGATAATACCTAATATAACTTGTTTATATTAGAATCGACGTTCATGGGCCGAAGATTCCAAGCAATCGGACAGTAAAACGTACGAGTCGGACACTTGCGGGAACGATTCAGATGCTAGTATTGACGACTATCGTTTACCTGGTAAATAATTTTTTAAAATAAGCAAGAGTTAATTTATGAATTACTGACAATATTAACAATACAATTTCTATTTTTTTTTTTTTTTTCAGGACCGAGCAGGGTTTTTGGATCAGACGCACTTGGACACGCTGGAACCAGAAGAACGGTGTATTATACTGACGATTCTCCACCATCATCTGCTTCTTTACCTGTAAGGAGTAACTATATGATAATAACAATAATCATAACAAATTTATCATGTCGAAGAAAATACGATATTAAGGAAATCTTTGAAACGTAGGCGGACAGGCTACTAAGCGAGTCCTTCCAGGAACAAGGAGATAACTCTGCGCAGGTGGAGACGAATTTAAAATCGGAAACGCAAGCTGAGTCACGTCCCTTTTTGATTTATAATAAAGTATCGGCAGTCATAAACGAGTCCAAGAACATTGGCAGTCCAATGAAGGATGCAGCGCAAGATGAAGCACTTACAGAACCTGCTGATAAAGAGCCAAAGACTGGCAGTCCGATATGGTATGAGTATGGTTGTGTATAAACTTCCACATTGATGCTTCCATTAGTATGCCCGAAACAAGAGGAGGAAAAGAGAGAGAAAGAGAGAGAACGTGTTTTTATACATATATTCTTGTATTTTCCAATTTATAAGAAAGTGTATATATATATATATGTATATATACATATATATACACATATATACATACTATTCGCTGCATTTTGATGCATATTTTTCCTTGTTAGTAAATTAATTAATTGCACTATTTTGTACTTTATAAAGGACGAAAACTAATGCAATACGAGTATATACCTGTTTGAAAGAATAGCAAAACTATCACAGAAAGTATTATATAAACTAAAGATTTCTATTTTATAGCTTTAGTGAACGAACTACCATAATTGCCAATGCATCGCTCCCGAAATTATAAAGTAGATTTAAGAATAGAGCGCCTACGAGTTCCTAAAAAGCTTTGTATTAAAATAAGTCAAAAATATTTTCATCATTGACTCAATTTACGAATTTGATGTGTGATGTGTTCTTTTTATCTCGTGTGTTTTTAATTCAAATCTTTTAATGAATAAAATTTTAATAATAAATTTTATTCTCTTTACGAGTAGAAAAAATTAAATGGACATAATTCATAATTAATTATAATTGGAAATTAATTCATAATTAATTTATGAATAATACGAATAATCATGAGATAATTAGATTAAATTAATAATTATATTGTGCTTGCCTCTTTATTTAACTGGTTTTATTTTTACATATTTACATGTACATTTACATACTTGTCGATTTTGTATATCATTCGTAGCTTTAATGCCATCTATCAGTATTCTACCTACCGTCGATGTGTAGGTAGAATTTTATGTTTATATTTTTCAGAATGTAAGATATAACTGTTCACTTTTCTCTTTGACGTCAATACTAATATAGTTGACAAGAGCTTATACTGATAAATAATAGCATAAGCATACAATTTACTTATACAATTACACCGATTACCTCTTTACCACTCGACTTACCACATCGATGTAAACTAAATAGATGTAATTGTTTTCTACATTTTGATAACTTATACTTTTATAATGATTGTGTATACGCTGAGAGTATATTTAGATATAGTGTATATTTTCTCTGTCTTAATGTTTTATTAAGCAAAGATTTTGCATTAGAAGATAATTAAGTACTTAATACTTCGATTTAAAATTTAAATTATAATAAGGCTCAATGAATTTAAAACTAATAAGAGAACAGGGCTACGAGCCATAGATTCGTTAAAATCTTTAATTTTCTTATTCTAATATATTGCGAAGATTATCACGTAATGTTGGCGTTTCGTCCCGGCTTCCACTACTGGACTCATCAGAGTAAGGTATTGTAATGGAAGCCTACCTTAGACGCCGGTGTAAGTTATTAAATCGAGATTCTATATAAAGAGATATACGCGTGTCTCAGCACTTGCGAGAATTTGCGAATATCAATAGACCTCTGATGGCGGGTCGACATAGTAATATTCTTCGCAATATTTATCTAAAGTACTACATGTATTCCAAACGCCAACATTACGTGATAATCTTCGCAATATATTAGAATAAGAAAATTAAAGATTTTAACAAATCTAAGGCTCATAGCCCTGTTCTCTTATTAATTTTTAATACTTCGAATTTATTAAGAGAATAATGTCTTTTATTATATTCTTGCTTCTCTCTAGCACTGTCTTCTAATATTGTCTTCCTGTAAAATGAGGTACGATCATCACGATACGATGTATAATTACAATTCCGTTACATCATTGCATATTTAAAAAAAAACCTTAACGAAAGTATTTCCATTTAAGCTTGTCATAATTTATCTTTAATAAATAAGTTAAAGCATTGAAAATATAAAAAGAATTTTTTTCTACAAAAAATAGTATTACACAAGAGGTAACAATACTTAAAAAAAATATTTTACCTCTAAGTAAAAGATATTGACGATAATTTTGTTATATATATTGATAGACGTTAAATCTTTTTTTTGTTGCGAAAGATTTGTAGGTCACTGCCACTTGTATGTTTCACAAAGTGCTCGGTTGATAAAGCGAAAATAGAGTTGGAGAGTTGCCGCACCATCAGGTACGCCGTAAGTAGCCCCAACCTGTCTGGTATATATGTATAGTTATTTCAAAAAATCTAGACATAATTATTTCACATAATTATAATATATGTATTTATTGTAATTATAGGATTATTTTACAACTCTTGAGTGATTAATTTTCAAATATTTTTACATTCCCTAATTATTTCTAATATTGTAATACAAGTGCTAATGTTGTCATTAATTAAAATGACGTAAATATGGGCATTATAAGGATTCGATTATGAATTATTACGGGATAGTAATTTATTTATGGATTAAGGAATTTATCTATCTTGATCATTTTTTTAAAACTAATTTTGGAAATGAATTGAATAAAATGTATACAGATTTTAAAAACTGATATATGTAGTATATTGTTAAAATTTATATTTTAAAAGTTGATTTGATTTAAAATACAAAATTGATATAATTTTTTCAAGTTTTTTTGCATCGGATATAAATATATTTCAGATGAATTTTCCGAACGCAGTCCAATATGTGTAGTCGTAAGAATATATAAGTTTAAACGACGCCAAACGATTCACATAGAATGTGAAACAGAAAACATACAATAATAAAAATGAAAATAAAATTAATCTGTAAAAAAAAAATTTGTAACGTCTACAATGAGATATCAAGGCGTGAAGTTTTAAGCTTTAAGCCTGATTTACAATTGCGTAAACGTAGTTGTAAGATTTCTCAAATCACAGTTGGATATTCTCCTCGTATTCAACTGTAATTGGTCAATGTAATTTGCAACTACATACAACTACGTTTACGCAATTGTAGATCGGGCTTTAATCGATAAGAAATTGATCAATTATAGTCGAATGTAAGGAGGATGATCGATCATGATTAGTCAATTTTTTTTACACCTTAAAATCTCATTGTATTACAAAACATTACATATTTTTAAACAATAAAAACGTTGACGTTGATCTTATTTTGGATCGCAACGATCAAACGAACAGGAGCTCTTTTCTTGAAAAGAAACGTATATATGAAAAAGAGATTATAGTAGTATACGTAATGTATACTGTAATATTTCCCTAGACTTTTTTTTGTATGCGTTTCTTTCCAAACAAATAGACCTCCAGATATTGTCGCGAGACACTTTTCGCGTATTTCATTTTTTCTCATTATTTTTCTTTGGAAACTTCCGTTCGATCATTCAACTTTTATGATTAATGATTAATACATTACACACGTTATGGGCAGCAGTTCTCTGAAGACACTTTGTGCTATTTATTCATTATAAAGACGAGTCGAAACGAGAGATAGAATGATCAAGAATTAAAAATTACTATGAATGCATTTTAAACCGATAAAATAATAATTGCATGTCCACTATCAGGTTTCTCTCTGCAGGCGGATTACTGCAATATCGATAAATCGATACTTTTGGAAGAGAAAATTATGATGTATTTAATTTACATAAATAATATAAATTGTATTAGTAAATAATTAGTGTGTTAGTAATAAACTATTTTGCTCGTGTAAGAAACAACAATTCATAATATAAACACCCAGGTCAAAGGATTAAATGAGTCAATTTCAAAGTTATTAATTTATCTAATCTTCGTTACAATCTCTAAACTAAACGGTATGTTTTGACTTCACTAAGTATATTATCAGCCGTAAATTATAAACCCCACATAACAATCATAAAAATTCCATATAACAATCATAAATAAATCATTCCGTGAACGCTTTATGTAGGTATAATATGAATTAAATAGAAAATTTCGTTAATGTTAAATGCATCTAATTGATTTGATTAATTACTGTATCAACACAGTCGAAAAACTTCATGTAAACTATATATATTTTAAAAAAGATTTTAGTATTTGTTAAACTATTTTTATATAATCATTCTATTCAATTTTCTATTTATAAGCAATGGATTATTTTAATTGTCTAAAATATCGTTTCTTTAAAAAAAAAAAGAAAAAAATGTATGATAATAATTTTTTTTCAAACATATATAAATTTTCACACATGTCTCGATCAGTTGGATATTATGATTTATAATAATTAAAGTTGTAAATTTTGTATATTTTTATAGTTTATTTTTTAATAACGATTTGTCAAATTCTAAAAAACAAAGAAGTGAATTATTATAATTAATGCATGACAACTCATTGAAAATTTTTCGTATCTCTTTTTCTGAAATTTTTTTTTTAATTAAATGCATTCGAAAAATTTTTCAAATCAAAACACGTTTGATTTTGACGAGAAATAAAGCAGCTGCGTTATACTGCAGCATCTCAAATGAAAGTCTCACGCATAGTAATGTTCGCCGGTTGCCTATCCCTTCGTTTTTCTGTCGGTTTTTCTATAGTTGACATTATGCTCTGGTCAAAAAATTGTCCATCGTGCAACCCCTTTCCCAAGTGTTTCTCAGGCTTTTCTCTCCCTCTTTTTCTCTGATAAATTTGCATATTTCCAGCCAAGGAAGTGTGCTACTTCGTTAAGCACGTTCCGTTAAACCCTTTTTTCTCACACAATACGGAAATATTAAGATTCTAAAAATTCACATTTACGTTAATGCTAAAGTCAGTATCATTCTTTTTCTAAAAGAAATACGAGAATCACGGAAATGGCTCCTCAATTGAACTCGAGACGATTGATATTTAAATAGTTAAAAAGAGATAATAAAAATTGAAGGTAACGAGATAGCACCATATTAGATTTATAATTTTCATATTACCATAAAATTCTTTAAAGATGTTATTTCGAATTTTATTACCTTTCTTACAATCAAAGAAGTCGCGAAATCGTTCTTATTCCCTATTTTTTTAAAACAAGCGAAATATCTTTTGCTGTTTGTAATAAATAATTAAGCATAGAAATCAATTCACGATTTTAAAATGTGATCCAAAATCGACGATATCTTCGAGTATGAAAACACGATTACATACAATCGCGCAACGTAAACAGATCTTCAGTAAACGAAAATGGATTGAAACGGATTTAGTT